TAAATGGTCGCTACTCAAATAAACATGTATACCAATGGAAGATCTTCATTGATTATTAAAAAGCTACTTTTTAAAAATTTCCAATAAATTGCCATTTATATATTCGCCCTTTACGTCTTCCATGCATCAGCAACTCTAAATCCTTCCTACAACCTAGCAGTTTGTTCAAGCCCTCTCTCTTTTTCTGGCTGCTGCAGCAGTCCATCCTCGGAGTTTATCACAACACCAGCCCATTATACAAAGCAACATCAACAATATTCTAGTGTCTGCCGGCCTTTGTTACCGGGCGACGCCAACTTCTCGATCTTTTCTCCATCCCCCTCCTTCTCAACTCCTCAATCCTCCTCTTCCTCTACTTCTTCTACAAACTCTATGCATGTGTCCACCTCATCCACCCATCCACTTGCTACTAGCCAGCTCGTCGGCCAAAATGTTCCCAGCTGCAAGACCGAGAAATTTATCGTTACCTCCGGCTATGATGATGCCTTGAATGCTCCTCGTAGCAGCATCCTTTGTGGTAGCGCCTTTAGTGAATCGTCATCGCCTGATCCGAATGGCGTCTTGGACACATCTAAGACGACCACTACTCGGTTGCCGTCAACTTGCAGGCTGACACAAACTACAAAGTCTTATCGTACCGCTTCCACTTTTTTAGCAGCTTCACAATCGATGTCATCGCCTTCAGCACCTGGCGCTATCACGGCTTCATCAACCTCAACCGGCTACTCGGCCTCAGGCCTACGCAACAGAGCTACTAACTCTTCTACGGCTTCTCTCCTCTCAGATTCCAAGCCTGGCTGTATGACCTATGCCGGAGGCATCAATGGGGGCAATGCGTACTATTATCATGGCTACTCTAGCCCATCTAATCGCCGTGCCAGTCTTCATCAACACAGCAATCTTGGATCCAACCTTGGTACAGGTGGTCTCGAGCTTGGTGTCAAGATTGCGAACGTCCAACCCGTTCCATTGCGCCGATACACAGCTAGTGCTGGTCTTATAGGTATTTACCGCTTGCTCTGTTGATTCCTCTACTTGTATCTTCATTGTGCTACTCATAGTAGCATATTCTTGTTTCGGAATTTTTAATTTTAACGTTTTTCGAATAACTTTTGATAATCTTATTTTCTCCCAGATCCTCCACTTACAGTAATGGTTAAATCTTTAGTGCATTTTATTTACAGCCCTACACTAAATCCATTTTATGGATTTTTGTATTATGTGCCTGATATTTATTAAGCTCTGTATTACTTTGTACCACTTTCTACAAGCAATTCTTTAAAGTTATTCCAACAACGGCATCTTTCACACGGTCTTCAACTTGCAAATGGCCTTGACTTCTTAAACTGGGAAGCACTTTGGACGGCTTAAAAAAATCAATCCACTCAAACCCATCTGCTAGCCCATACGATGGCTAAGTGAGAATCTACTCTGATTCTTTTGTACAATCTCCTCAGACGGACCCAATCTGAGTAATATATTCTCAGCGACTGCGAAAATTGAGACTATTGCCTCTGGTCTAATTTAAGATGAACAAATTTTTCTTTAATTGTCGTTAAAGGTTTACCAATGCTAACTGCATTTGAAAGTTTGGCACACTTCCATGTTGCCGAATTTTCTTTTATTTTTTACCAAATTTATGATTTACTTTGTTTGTAGACATGTAAAG